CATATTATTTATGAGTCACAATTTATCTATTTATTAATTACAATCAACTAAATAATTTGTGACCACCACCTCATCATTGTCTGCAATCGCACACCTGCCAACACCGCCGCCACTACTTCCCAGCAACACCACCGTCCTTGCACAACCGCCGGCACTACTTGTAACTAACTACCATTTTCAACTACAAAACCACCACCAGTATCAACGCTAACGCCAACGCCAACGCCAACACCAACACAACCACTAGTATCAACGCCAACACCAGCACCACCACTACCATCATCGTCGTTGCCGCCACCATCTTATCATGAATGTTACGGCCAACTGAACAGCACAACCACCATCTCAATCACACCACGCCCACCAAAAAATCCCCAAACCTGTCACCACCGCTGCATCACTACCATCGCTTTATCAAATCCACATCATACTGCAGTCCACAATCTCATCATCGTTGCAAGCCATCACAAATTAACGAATTTTTAGGTCACGCAATATTTTTTTTGTCACTAATTATTTATTTCTTTGGTCACATATTGTTTATTCGTCACATATTAACCAATTTATTGGTCACAATCAACCAAATAATTTGTGACAACTACCAAAATTTGTGGCTACTACTTCACCACTGACTCCAGTCGTGTCGTCGCCGCCAGAATCCCTACCACCTCTCGACAGCAACATCATCATCTCAAATAAACAAGCACTACCACCTCTCGGCACCACTGCTGTCACCTCCAACAAACTACCATTTTCAACTTCAAACCCACCACCGATAAGACCTACCACCATCGCCACCAACAAAACTACAGCCACCACCAGATCCAACATAACCTCGCCACTATTGGATCCAACAAAGTTACCGCTACCCAAACACTACCACCACGAGCACCACTACCACCATAGTCCTCACTCACCAACTGAAAGACACAACCCAAAATCCCATACTGAATCTCAGCTACGACATGTAAGAGATCTCAACCATGGTGTCTTACGGGGCTGAATTAGCAAAGGAGTAAGAGGCAAGAGTCATCGAGCTGAACCAACTGGAAAACATAACCAAAAAACCCACACTGAATCTCGGCCACAGCTCGTAGGAGATCTCGATCATGGCATGCGACTGTTAAATCAACAAAGGAATAAGAGGCAAGACTCAGCGGGCTGAACCACGGACGATCTTACACGTGGCGGGGCGAGGGCTCTCACTTGGTTCCACACAAGAAGCCACACCACCCATAGCCGCTCCTTGCTTGTGTTGCCGCTTAGTCGCCGCTATAACTCTATCAGCGACACTCGTTGCAATCTTTCTGACCGAGCTTGCCGCCTCGCTCAGCCATTATGTAGAGAGAGAAAGAGGATATTAGGAGAGAGAAAGGAGTGGGAGAGAAAGAGGGTCAACTATAGCTGTATAGGTGGATATGTAAAGTAATATTTATAATACTATTATTAATATTTAAAATTTTAATTATATCTTACTTTTTAAGGAAAAACTTATAACTCTTAAATATGAATTGAGATCTTGAAAATACTTAATTTATGTAATTTCCACAAAAATTAAAACTTCAAAACTCAACAAAATATCTCCTTATTGTTTTTGAGTTGGGTCTCTAGTCCATTAAAAAGCAACAACAAAATTGGTTTAATTAGAGGCCCAAATTACTTGGGCATTTTACTTGCATTCTTTGTTTAAGAAATAAAAAGGATCTAAAATTAAACTATTACCTAGTACTATGTTTTGTTGTGTTTTTTTATCTACTAAGATCTACGGAAAAAAAAAAAAAAAACAAAAGAGTAGTTCCCCCTTTTAAAATCCCGTGAATAATTTCCTATACATATAGCATATTTCAAAAAAAAAAAAAAAAATCAATGCATTAAAAAAATAAATGAAATCTTCCATATAATATTTTTCTATCCTTATAAAATTTATAAAATCTATAAATTATTTTTTTATGAAAGTAAGAAAAAAAATTTATTTATTCTAAAAATGCTCATTTCAATTTTTTTCATAAGCTACTGAGAAACTGAATTTGAATCGACCATGATTGGTGTTAAAAAGACTTCTACACTTGCTAAAAAAATTATATTTAAGGGCTTCATAACAATATGTATCCTAGGGTCTCATAAATCTCAAGGCCGACCCTGAATTGTGTGATAGGGAGAGAGGACAAAAAAAAAAAAAATGAAGCCCAATTTTCTTTGTTAGAGAAAAAAATAACACGTACCTAAAATGTGCCTGTGTTTGTTGTGTTTTAGTATTGTGTGAGAATTGTGGCTGAATACGCACGAATAGGGAATGAAATTTGACAAACTTGTTATTGGAGAGAAACTAGAAAATTATAATTGTACAATCTTATTTTTGTCGTATGTTGTGCTAAAAGTATTTTATTGTGAGGTTTTCTCAACTAATGAAGTTTTCTTCTCCTGTGGTTGTCGACAGTTTGTCAAATCAATTTTAATACGTATTTATCTCTTTCGTAATTGCTTTTTTTGAATTTTTTCTATCTGCTACGTTGTATGAGATCTTTTCCAACAAGTGTTATCAAAGTTCATAGTTCAAACTCTAGGATTGCGCCAATAATGGCGAGCTCAAAGTTTGAGGTGGAGCTAAGGTTATGGATTGGTACCAAAGTGGAGCCGTGGTGCTGGATTGGTCCTCCGGTGTAGTTCTGGCGGTAATCGAGTCACACAAGAGGTATNAAGTGGAGCCGTGGTGATGGATTGGTACTCCGGTGTAGTTCTG